CCTGTGGAGGTAGAGGCCATGGGTACCCCGGGAACATCAGTGGTCTTGTGCCTGAAGGTACCTCTCCCCTTGACAACCCTCCACTCCCCACCCATTGCACTTCATGCCATTCTGCTGCAGGGCAGCACAACGGGAAGCGTGCAATGCAATCATTCTCATGTCCTTCCGTCCATTCTTGGTCCTGTAAGGACACTGAAGTGCCAGGCCTTCAGCAGCTGCAGTTAGAGCGAGAAGGTCTCACACTCTTGTGCATCAGGCCACGTTTATAGAGCCCTGTGCGGGTACAACATTTGTTTCTGCACACGATCCACGGCTACGAAGCGGATCTCTGCAGATTTGCAGGGCGCTGCCCATTTATACCTGGATTTAGGAGCCGAACTCTGGGCATTATTTTGCAAAACCTGCTCAAGACTTTTAGAGATTTTTCGAAGCAAACCATGGCGTTTTTTAAACCCCCGACATTCCATGACTGAGCAAAACATCTCCAGGAACATCAACAATGCTGGCTCGAAGAGAGGTAGGACTCTTCTTAAACAAAATGATTTTAAACGAACAACTTGCTACCAAAAAGTTTGAGATATTTGCTGTGGCAGAACAAAGGGGGTTTTGATCTAAAAGAATGTGACCCCAAGCTTCTTACAATTCGTTCTACAGGCATGGGGCTTGTGCATTTTCTGCTGGGGCTTGTCCGGACAAAGAGCCAGAGCTCAGCCCTAACAATCAACCGGGAGAGCGGAGTCAGAGGTGAGGAAGGCCTGGGAAGATCCTGAGACAGGGAATGAAGGGGTGTCCCATCCACCTGCTCCTTCCTGTAGGTAGATCACAGAAAGATCTAGAGGTGAGTTCTGGGGTTTCCCTGCCATGAGTGGGCAGCGTGCAATTAACAAGGGCTGCTTCTCATACTCACACACACACCCCCCCATCACGCCATGCACACCTCTCACGCCGGCACCAGCTCTGATTTCATCTCATGCATTTACACAGCACATCTCTGCAAGCAGATTATAACCCCCAGTGTCCATAACTCCAGTTAACTCTGCAGTGAGGACATGCTCCCCCCAGCCCCAAGACCTTAAAACCCAAGGTCGACTCCCCCTGCTCGAGAAGACACACGCTTCAAACCTGCCCCACCCCGCACCCCCAGTTCCCTAACCTGGGGCTTGCCAGGGGATTCTCTGCTTGTGATCAAGTGGGGCTGGCTGGATGCAAGGCGCTGGCCAATCCTCTCTGTCTCCAGCGGCTAAACTGCATTCAAAGAAAGTTTACAAAATAATCCCTCTCCCCCTCCTCTGTATGTTCTTTCCATGCGCTCTTCCCTCCACCCCGATTCTCTGCGTCTCTAAGTTTCACCTGCTCAGCCAGCAGCTGGGGATTTGCAAATAAATAAATAAAAATAAAAAAACTGGACAAAAAAACCCCCAAATATTTTCTGTAAAATCGACATGGGCAGGACCACCAGTGCTGGACCTAGCGGGGCTGCCCCCCCCCCCCCCCCCCCCCGGCTTGAAGCGGTTTCCATCCTATCCAGGGTTTACAGTTTGGCTCAGTGGCTCTCTGCCCCCTCACTGTACAAATTGTTCCAGCGCCCCTGGGCGGGACAGGGCCTGAAGAAAGGGGCATGCGGAGGTGTTGGGAACACATGGGCCCTGCAGCTGCCCCCCCGCCATGCACCCCCCCCCCGCCCCAGCTCTACCTTCTCTAACCCCCAGACAACACACCTCCCCCTCCCCTTTTCTGCTTAGGACTCCAGCCCCACTGAACAGTCCAGAAGGGAGATGGAATCTCTTACCTGAAGTGCCATCCAAAAACCCAGAGGGGCGGGCTGGAAGGAAGAGCCCCAGAAACACCCCGACCCACGGCATGTCAGAGGCGCAAAAGGAACGGGCGAGATCGGCGGCAACTTCACCAAAAGCTAAGGCCAGCCCACCATCACCTGACTCTACGAAAGCGCAGTAAGCTGGTGGTGTAAACGGTGCATGGGCAGTTCCAGCAGACGATCAACAGAGCCGGTTAGAGATTCATTTAACAACTCTGGAATGGCTTTGCAATGGGAGGCGAGTTTTCCGAGCCATGCTTTGCTTCCTGAGGCGGTCAAGATTTGAGCTTTACTAGAGGATTGTACAGGATTCAGGCACTCTCTAGTTCCTCCTTTGTCAGCCCCTTGCCCTAACACCCTGCCTGCCCTGGGTGCTCAGCTGAGCTCTCCCTCGCTGCACGGTGCAAAACCAGAACTATCCCATTACTCTCCCCTGCTGTGTCTCTCTCCCTCTCTCCCCTCAGGCCAGGCTGCTGCTGCCCCAGGGGAGCTCACTGGGGTCGGGGGTGTCTCTGTGCTGGGTCCCCGGGGCTGTTGCAGACGCTTCCTCCTGCTGGGGCTGGAGGCCCTGTTCAAGCTCCCCTTGGAGAGAAGCGCGCTGTGTTCACAGGAGCAGGACCAGCCCCGCAAACCGACCGCCCGGCTGTCCCAGAGGTTCCCGAGCCCAGCGCTCACCCCCAGCCCAGCCGCATCCAGCAGCTTCTCCCTGCGCCAAGGCACCGCAGCCCGTGGGGCATCTTCAGGGCAGCGGAGCTCCAGGTACTGCCGCTTCTCTGCCCAGGAAAGGGATGGGGAGAGGCTGATGCTGACCCTGTGGGGCTGAGCTGAGCAGCAGCAGGTGCAGCCAGTCCCTGTGGGGATCCCCGATGGCTCCCTGGCTCCAGCTGCTGTTTGGGAGGCAGGGAAGGGGCCCTACAGCCAGGCAGGCTGCACAGCTGCACGCCCCATAGGTGCTGGGGCTGGGGCTGGTAGGGAGGTATGGGGAGGTGGGGATTTCACAGCAACTTTAACTAATACACTGAAATGTTTCCATCAACATTTTGTGCTAGGGAAAATTGGGTGTTCGATTCAAGACAATTTTTTGTGGAAAGTGTCATTTTAACAGGAAAAAATCAATTTTTTGTTGGAAAATTCAAAAACCAAAAATGGTTTGGATGATGTGGGGGTTTTTGTTTTGTTTTTTCCCCAATTTGGGACTAACTGTTTTCCGGTGCTGGTAGAAGGTTTTGGCGGGCTTGGCCATTCTTGGCAGAAGTTTTTCATGATCTTGCTCTCCTGGATGGGGAGAAAAGCTTGAAAAGGTGACCCCCCCCCCCCCCCGCAAAAGGCTCCAACACCAGGAGCTGGAGAACAGAACCCAAACTTGTTGGCTTAAAACCAACAAGACTTTAAAAACAATTGTTTTTCAGGGGGGCTCTGACTTGTGATTTTTTTTTTTTGGTCACTTGCAATTGGCCACGTGGGATAGAACCAGCTTGGGCAGGATCCAGATGTTAGCCCATCTAGAGAGGCCTGGCAGTGGCTCATACACAGCGGCTGTGGGAGTTAGGGACAGGAGAGTGATTTTCTGAAATTACACCTAGCAAGGGAAGGAGCCGGGGAAATGCAGTATACCCTGGGGAATCAGGGACACTCAGGGGGAGGCCACAATGACGCTGCTCAGGAGTTTTGCTCTGACACGCTCAGCCCTCGTGGAACAGAGCCCCCGGCCTTCCCCTCCACGGGCACTGACTTATTTTTCCCCGTAGATGCTCCACCCCTGTTCGGCCCTTAGCCCCTACTCTTGTTCCACCTCTTTCCCAGGGCACCAACTCCTCACCGTGCTCTTCACCCTTGTATCTCTCCAAAGCCAGCCAGCCAGAGCGGGGTGGCACCTCCTCCCACCCCACAAGGACCCCTTGCTGCAACTGTCATGAGTAAGTATCAGGGAGTGAACCCCTCTGCTAGGGCTCCCCCAGGCCGGGATCTCGGTGTCTGGGGGCGGGGGGGATTTGCTGGGGGGTGTCTCTGTTTTGCGCTCTCCCAGCTCCGCTCTTCTTTCTCTGTTAACCCTGCTGGGTTGGAAGCCACCTTCCAGCTCTCCGCTGACCTGCCTGTGCCCCTCTCCTCTCTCTGCCAGGCCTCTGCCTTCACTGGGAGCTCTCGCTGGGGTGGGGCTGCTGCGGACTCTGCTCTGAGCTCTGCCTGCGTATGGGGGAGCTGCACTGGAGCCCCTGGAGGGGTCAGGGACCGTAGAGAGAGCCAGCATCTCGCAGGGGTTCCTATTTCACACCGATCTCTGCACCATTGCTGCACCCAGGGCCCACTGCGCTGGGAGAACCATTGAGGGCCTGACTCTGGGGGGCGGCTTTGCCAGGACATGCGTCCTCCAAGAATCGGCCCAGAGATGTCTGGAAACTAGGCCACGGTCTGAGATTGACTTGCTTATTCTGATACCTGTTGCTCCCAGGCTTCCCCCAGCTGCTCTTGGCCAGCGGATGCAGCTCTTTGTCCCCATCTAGTGGCCACATCCCAGCTTTTCGCTCCCTCTTGCTTTTCTGTCAGTGAGCTCAGCAGTAGGCAAGGCGCTGTAGAAGACACTGTGAGGGGAGGAGAATTAAATTCATGGAGGTGTTGCCGGCACCCAGTGCCAGAGGCGAACAACAGCAGAGGGGGTTTGTTACCCGGTATGCGTCACTTAATAATCACAAGGGGGTGGAAAAGCAGAAAAGTTTATTTGCAGCTGCAAACAAGGTACAGGGGGAATAGAATTTTAAATTTTGCACATTAGAGCAGGTCATTACACACACTTTTATATTCCTTAATGCGACTGCACTACACATTAGCTAATTAAAACTTTGCACAAATATTTTGCTTTTTTTATATGGGTTACAACAATGTTTATTTTTTGCAACTTTTAACAAGCATTTTTAGCAACTTAAACAACAAGCACATCTTGTTTGGCCTTGTAGCTGTTTTTTTATTATTTTTAACTTGGCGCTAGCAAACTTTACACTATGAGGCATTATATGCGGCTGCAACATTGTTTTAAGAGCAAAAGAGCTTACTCAAACCAGCCAGGCCTGAATTTTATTAAGGGGGGTTGAGAAGAAGCTCTTAGGGCTTTAGCAGGGAGACTTTTTTGACCTTTATGGCCTTTTATTTTTTTAATTTAACTAGTGGCCATGCCCTGGGGTTTTTAACATTTTTTTTTTTGAGAATATTTATTTTTATTGCTTGAGGTTTTTTATTTTTATTTACTTACTAGCGGGCTATGCATAAAATTAAGATTTTTAAAACTATGCAAAATAAGCATTTTTACCAGGACTATATATAACATAGTAAATATAACATGATTCATACAGGAAAAAAAACTTAAATAATAGGCTAAAGAACTTATTTAGCTACGGGGAAAGGCTTCAACTAGAAAATAGAGAGCTTAGCTAATTTTCTCTGGTTTGCTGATGAATGCTCTTTGCTAGCTGCTTTAGGCGTTGGAAATCAGCTTTTACGGATGTCTCTGCATCTGCTATATTAAAGCAACACATGCTTGCAAACTCCTGGCATAGGTGACCATGGCGTAGAAGTAAATAGTCTACAGCCAGCCTGTTCTGTAGCACACCCTGACGTACTTCCCCGAACTCATGTGAGAGTTGGGCCAGGACGGCTGAGGTTAAATTAATGGCCTTTGCCACTGTGCAGGCAAGGTGCTCTACTGCGTGGTAATTATGCACCACAAGCCCAGGGATACTAACTAAAGAAAAGGCCAGAGCTGCTGCCTTAGTCTCTGAGAATAAGGTTCTCTGAGAACGACGTTGCGTTCACTGCACTCTGGGCCAGTGCCAGCCAGGTATTTACGGGTACAATGCTTGAAACAGCAGTACCGGTTAGGCACATGGCTAAGAGGGGGAATAAAATATACTTTTTTATTTATTTTTTTGCTTTTTTGGTGGGCTGCTGTTTAAATAGTAATTTTAGTCTAAGATCTTCACTGGAGGGGGCTGAATGCACGGTCTACCTTTTAGCAGGGGGGGGGGGGGGTTGACACTTCTTTCAGCTGGGTATAATGAATCTAATTCTTGTGTCCCTCGGCCTTTGCTGCCGTGTGGGAGACCAGCAGGACGGTATAGGGTCCCTTCCACTTTTTCTGGAGGGGCTCGTCTTTCCAGGTACGTACGAGCACTGAATCACCAGGCTGCAGGGAGTGGATGGGTGAGTCCAAGGGTAGAGGCTGGGAATCCTTAGTATACCTGTGAAGAGACAAAAGAACAGCAGACAGGGAACACATATACTGAGAGAGAAACTTGTTTTTTAATTTTTACTTTTTTTTTTTGACATAAGCGGTGTACTATTTATAGGCCGTGTTTTTTTAAACATAATTTTAAAGGGACTGAGTTTTAATTTACCCTTCGGGAGAGCACGGCTGCGGAGCAGAACTAGGGGCAGGGCATCAGGCCACCGTAGGGAGGCCTCCTGGCATACTTTCGAGAGATGTCGCTTAAGGGTCTGATTGATCCACTTCACTACCCCACTGGCTTGCGGTCTCCAGGGTGTATGGAGTTTTCAGGGAATCTGTAAGGTGTCTGAGATGCTTTGGACGATTTTTGACGTGAAGTGTGTTTTATTGTCAGATTTTATTCACTGGGGAAGTCCAAAGGGAGGAATAATCTTTTTAACAAACTTGAGAGCCACTGTCCTGGCAGTGCAATTGCGACATGGAAAGGCTTCTGACCATCTGCTGAATCCATTTACTATGACAAGGAGATACTTGAACTTTTGGGTGCGGGGAAACTTAGCAAAGTCTATTTGCCACACCCGTCCGGGGCCTGGAGTGGGTTCCAGGGCCGCTGGTGGTACTGGGTGTCCTGATTGGGGGTTATTCTTTTGACAGACTAGGCATTTTGTTTGTACTTGGGCAGCTAGGGCTCTGAGTCTGGAGGTTATGAAGTACTTTTTTATTACTTGGATAAGTGCCTCCCTGCCAGCATGAGTGGTTTGATGTAATTTTTGTAATACTGGCAGAATTAGGCCCTTTGGTAAGAGGACTTTCCCTTCCGGCGAATGAAGCCATCCCTCCTTTTCCTGGAGACCAAGTTTGTCAGCTAGCTGTTTCTCCTCCCCAGAATACTGAGGGGTCGGGAGCTTCCCCACTGATGGGATAAGGGCATGCATATAGGTGTTTTTAGTCTGAGGGAACATCAGGGTGGCAGCATGCTTTGCCTCTTTATCTGCCCTGGCATTACCCCTGGTCACATCTTGATCCTCCCTCTGATGGGCCTTATAGTGTCCCACTGCCACTTCCAAAGGGAGTTGCACTGCCTCTAGAAGCCGGAGGATTTGGGGCCCGTACTTGACTGGGGAGCCTTGGGCTGTCAGCATTCCCCTCTGCTTCCACAGGCCAGCAGGAGCATGCAGCACCCCAAAAGCATATTTGGAATCAGTGAAAATATTGACCTGGGTTTTTTTTGGACAGTTCGAGTGCACGGGTCAGGGCCACTAGCTCAGCCAACTGGGCAGAGGTCCCAGCGGGCAAACTTTCAGCTTCCACGGTGTCACTGAGGGTTACAATAGCATAACCCGCCGTTTTTTGCTCATTTATTACCATGCTGCTACTATCAGTGTACCACTCATAATCTGCATTTGGGAGGGGCACATCCTTCAAGTCCGGGCGACTAGAATATTGGGCGGCGGCTAGAATATTGGGCATCTATGATTTTTAAACAGTCATGTTTCTGTTTCTCAGTTTTTGGTAAGAGGGTGGCAGGGTTAAGGGATGGACAAGGCTGCAGCGTGACCTCAGGGTTCTCTAAGAGCTTTGCTTGGTATCTTGCCATACGCGCTTGTGTGAGCCAGAGGCCGCCCTTAACATCCAGTAAAGCGCGTACCATGTGTGGTGTAAAAACCTGTATTGTTCCCCCTAGTGTCAGTTTCTCTGCTTCTGCCAGGGTCAGGGCGGTGGCTGCCACTGCCCGCAGGCACGCTGGCCAGCCCTTGGCTACTTGGTCCAGTTATTTCGAAAAATATGCCACCGGACGTTTTCATGCTCCTAGCAGCTGTGTGAGTACTTCCAGGGCCACCTCCTTTCGTTTATGTACATACAACTGAAATGGCTTGGAGAGATCTGGCAGACCTAGAGCCGGGGCTTCCATTAGCTTGTTTTTTAGGATTTTAAATGCCCTGTCAGCCTCTGGGGTCCAATGAAAGGGGTCATGGTCTGCTCCTTTTACACAGTCGTACAGGGGTCTAGCCTATAGTTCAAACTCTGGGATTTATATTCTACAGAAGCCTGCCATCCCCAGAAATGCTCTGAGCCGCTTGCGATTACTCGGGATAGGAACTTGGCATATGGCTTTTATTTTTTTATTTGAAAGCTGGCGATCCCCCTGCTGTAAGTAGAACCCGAGGTACTGTACCTGCGGGAGAGCAATCTGAGCCTGACTTCGTGCTACCCGATATACTTGAAGTCCCACAAAATTCAGGAGACTCACGGTGGCTTTAAGGCCGGGAGTTAAGCCTACAGTGGCAATTAACAGATCATCTATGTATTGCAAAAGGAGGGCTTCTTTATTTTCCCACTCCTCTAGGTCCCTGGCCAGAGCCTGGCCAAAGAGGGTGGGGGAATTTTTAAACCCCTGGGCTAACACTGTCCAGCAAAGTTGCTTTTTAACTCTGTTCCGGTCCTCCCATTCGAAGGAGAAAATCTCCTGTGCTGAGGTGTCAACTGGGATGGCAAAAAAAGCATCTTTTAAATCAAGAACTGGAAAATGGGTATACTGTTCCCCTATAGAAGCCAATAGGGTATAGGGGTTAGGGACAAGAGGGTGCAGAGTCTTAACCCGTTCATTAACTGCCCTTAGGTCTTGTAGCAGCCGGTACGTGCCATCAGGTTTCTGTACGGGTAAAATGGGAGTGTTCCAGGCTGACTGACATTCCCGGAGAATACCGTACGTTAGAAATCGATCTATGGTTTCCTGTAACCCCTTTTTGGCTTCCTTCTTGATTGGCTATTGCTTTACCCGCACCGGGCCTTTCCCGGGTATGAGCTGGACATGAATGGGGGTTTGGTGAGTAGCTTTTCCTGGGATCCCTGATGCCCACACAAGGGGATACACTTGGACTTCCCGCTTGTCCCATTTTGGGGCTTGCATAGCCGAGGGTTCAACTGCAAGGGTCATAATCTATGCATTTTCAGGGGGTAAGGTAAGGGTTATTTCATCTGGAGTAAAATGCAGGGTGGCACCTAGGCGACACAGCAGGTCCCATCCCAGCAACGGTGTTGGGCATTCAGGGAGCTATACCAGCTTATGGGATATGGTTTTGTTTCCCAAAGCACATTCTGCTGGGGCATACACTAGGCACTTGGTATCTTTGCCTGTGGCTCCTGTCACAGTGAGGGAGTCTGCTACTGGCAAGTGAAGCGGTTGATTTACAGCAGTTCGCGCCGCTCCAGAGTCCACTAAAAAATCTATTTCTTCATTTCCCACCCGCATTTTTACTCGGGGTTCTGGGGGTTGGATGATCTGTTTTCCCTGACACCCTTATTTTTGTTTTTTTATTGCCATCATAGAGGTACTTCTCCTTTTCTTTTTGTTTGGGCACTTATTTTTTTAGTGTCCCTCTTGCCGACACAGGGCACACTGATTGCGCCCCAGTCGTCTTTTTCGCAAGCCTGGACGTCCGTGTCCACGGCTCCCTTTTTTTTGTTTACTTTCCTTCGTGCCTGCCTGCACTGCCGCTACCATTAATTTTACTTGCTTTTTTTTTTTACTTTTTTTCAACTATGCACTTGATTTGCTGCTTCCAAAATCTGTGCCATGGTCATACTTATCAAATCCTCCTTTTTCTGTAGCTTTCTCTTAATGTCGGGGGCTGCCCTGCTTGTAAATACTCCTTTAATAATTGCCTCAGTTTGTGGATTATTAGGATCTGCATTGGTATATTGTTGGATCGTGTTTCGAATGCGCTGCAAAAAAGCTGCAGAGCTTTCCTTTGGATCCTGCACTACCTTCTATGGTTTAGTTTAATTATTCTGTCTGACAGCTGCGTGATGGAGTCTATACAGTAGCAGCTCCTTATAGGAGGTGAGGTGGGTCATAGCCTGATTGTCATTTGGGTCCCACCTAGGATTTTTTATAGGAACTTGATTATCTGGGATCGGGACATTGTTACGGTCTTGGTCATATCGCCTTTTCGCTTTTTTCCTTGCTTTAGCTATGACCTGTTCTTGTTTAACCTCAGTCAATAATGTTTGCAGAAGGACATTACAATCATCCCAGCCTGGCTTGTAGCTGCTAAGACATCCCTCAAAAACCGATACCAACTTGCTTGGGTTGATAGAAAATTCTCCAGCCTGTGCTTTGAAAGCGGCCAGGTCCATAGGATTAAAAGGTGCATGAGTATAGAACTGCATGGTAAGAGCTTGTCCTTTCTATTGCATTAGGGGCGATTTTAGTCTTGGTAAGTAACGGGTATAATCCAGCAGATGGAGCCTGAACCTCACTATGAGCTTCACTAGGAATCTTACTTTGAGCCTTGCTCTGTGTGGGTGTAGGGGCCGAAGGAGCCTCGCTCTATGTGGGTGTAGGGGCCGAAGGAGACACCGGATCTGCCATTACATTTGGGGTGGAGATCCGGGGACTGACATTAATTGCTACAGGGCCAATCGGGGTTAAATTACAGCATTGTAAAATATCAGTACGAGACTATAAGGTTATAAACAAGTAAGCATACGAATGCTTATTCTACTTCGCCGTTCGCTGACAGAACAGGAGTAACTGGAGGATTGTATTATGATTTAGTGATCCTCCGGGAGGCCACTGTTCTTGGTCCTCTAATTGGTACTGAGGCCAGTCAACCGTACAAAATCGCTTCAATTTACCCTTAGCCACTGGATCTGATCCAAATATCTTCCAATTTACTAAAATACACTCTAGGGGCGTGCATCGTACCGTACCTCCAGGGTACCTGTCCCATACCTACAGGGTAACTGTGGGCGTCCCCAGGTTCCAACAGAGCATATAATCCGGATTTCAAAAGGTTCCCACTTTATCCAAGGGACCGGTTCCCCAACATCGCCCGCAGCTGCTCCTCCCCTATATCCAAGGAACCGGTTCCTCACCGTCTCCCACAGCTGCTTCTCCACCATGTGAGTGCGTTGCACCGTCGTGCCCTCCGGGGTCAATCAAACTGCGTCTCCTCTGAGGCCCCCAATGAACTCACCGGTGTGTGCTGGGCGTCAGTTGTCGCTGCAATCCTCGACCTCCAGAAGGGATCTGGGCAAGGCTAAATTGCATCCTCGTCACCCCACGTTGGGACTCCAAAAGCTTGGACTCCAAAAGCTGTTGGGCTAGCAGGGAGCTGCTGGTCGGGATTGAGGGGCATGAGATCTTTGTCTACAGTGAAATGGTTGTCCAATTTGGTTCCTAGTTTGATGTTTTTGCCTTCATCCCTCCACCTGCATGAGCAGCACAAACCTCTGTGCACTTGGCCTCTAACCCAGCCGCGGGGCTCTGTGCTTGTAGATTTCAACCATGCTTCGTACTTTGCTGTGAATATCACATTGCAGCTGCCAATGGGAGATGCTGCCAGGGATTTCTATGGAGCAGCAGATAGCCCAAAAGCCAGGGCTCCGACGGAGCCCCAGGACGACCCTGACAGCAGCGACATGGAGGAGATGGAGGTGGAGGAGATGGGAGAATGGGAGGGCAAGGAGATGGATGTGGATTAGAACATCTCGGATTTGAGAAGTGCTGGGTGTGCATATGGCACCATACGATGCACCCACACGAGAGGGGCTTCCTCACCTCTCACTGTTTAGAGAGCTAGGCATCTCAGGGGTTCTCTTATATATATTTTATTATTCCTTTCTTCTTTGCACTTACACACTTTGAGCAGATTTAGGAATGAATGAATGTTCCGTTTCCAGTGGTGTCTTCATGTCAACAGCTCTGGGATTCGGACACGATACGGGAACAGTAGGGTAACGTGCATCAAATCTCTTCAATCCAGACAGCGTGATCAGCATGGGCAGCAGGTATCATGGGGCTGTGGGCACTGAGGTTGCAGTGCCCCGGGGCTGAGGTCTCGCCCCCTGACCTCTGCCATCCAGTGCTGGGGCTGTGGGCTGTGGTGATGGTGCTTTGGGCTCCTGCGGGGGAGAGGTAGGTAGAAGGGGAGGGAGGGGGGCAGAAGGGGAGTGGCGGGACCTCAGGCACAAGGGGAAGGGCCAGAGGCTAGGCTTCCTGGGTGGCCAACTCACTGGCAGCCCGTGCTGATCGGAGAGTAGACAAATGATCGTCAGGCTTTGTGCTGACCAGGTCTAAGTCAGAGCAGCCTTGGGGCTGCTCTAATGTACATTCCGCTCCACATAGGCCCGGGTAAGCTGAGAATAGCTGTACTACAATGCCTTCTGGCCATGGGAAGCAGGGCAGTTGAGGCCTTTCCACCAGCCAGGGAAGCCTCTATCTGCAGGTATCCTCTGAGGGTATTGACCCTGTGACATTGCACTTCATAAGCTTTATAAAAATGTTTAAGTGTGAATATGATGTAACTGGAATATGCTTTATGCAAAAGGTCTCTATAAGTTTTGTAATGAGACCTTACAAATCTACTGAGTGTGTTCATCCTATTTGGATGAATGTGTCATTCTTGTATCTGAAATTTGGAAAATGAGATATCACTCTGAGGTCCTACTGTAGTTATGCAAAGTGTGGGCCATTTATGGTGGCTTAGAATCTTGATGGCTCCCATTAGCTAGGACAACGGACTGTAGATGGCTCTGTTCACCTGCAAGCCTTCACTGCACACGTGCGGGCCAGTCCTGAAAGAATGGAGGGGGGCTCACAGGATATGTGAACATGTCACATGATACTTGAATCCATCTTTAACCTGGTGCTTTTCCATTTAGAAGGAGGGGTGGAAACCCAGAGAGAACGTGAGAGGATTCCCGCCTTGTGCCAAAGATATCAAAGGGGGTGGAACAGAACAAAGGGGGCTGCCAGTCATAAGAAATCCCCGAGTTACCACCTGAGCTGGAACAAGGCTGTACCAGGGGAAAGGATTGGGCCCAGACTGGAGGGAGTCCAGTCTGGGAAAGAAGCTTTTTGGAACATCTCTCAGGGTGAGATTTATCTGTATTCCGTTTCTTAATGTATTAGGCTTAGACTTGCGTGTTTTGTTTTATTTTTCTTGGTAACTTATTTGTTCTGTCTGTTATTACTTGAAACCATTTAAATCCTACTTTTTATATTTAATGAAATCACTTTTGTTTATTAATTAACCCAGAGTAAGTGATTAATACCTGGGGGAGCAAACAGCTGGGCATCTCTCCCTATCAGTGTTATAGAGGGTGGACAATTTGAGTTTACCCTGTATAAACTTTATACAGAGTAAAACGGATTTATTTGGGGTTTGGATCCCATTGGGAGCTGGGTGCTGGAGACAGGTGACCTGCTGAGCAGTTTTGGGTTCAAGTCTGCAGCGTTGGGGGTGTGGCCCAGACCTGGGTCTGTGTTTGCAGCTGGCAAGCATGTCTGGCTCAACAAGGCAGGGTTCTGGAGTCCCAAGCTGGAAGGGAAAATGGGCTCAGAGGCAAATTCAGCACGTCAGGTGACAGACAGGGCATTGCAGGTGTTCTCCTCACCCTGGTCGAATGCCTTGTGCGGGTTGTACCTGGGGGGTGCAGGGGTGGAATGAGCCGGGGACGGCTGCCCGTTTGAGTGATTCATAGCAGGCAAACGAGGCACCTTTGGGGGAGCCTTGTCCAGGCCTGCCATGGGTCAGCTCTCTCAAACCACCACCCCTGGCAGCGCAAGCCTGACCTTCCAGCCCCCTGCAGGCCTCGCTCTCTGTGTACCGGTTAGCGATAGACACTCCCAAAGCCTCTGAGCGTCCCTCGGGAGTGCTCAGCCCGTTCCCGGAGCACACGCAGAACGGTGACTCTAATCCCACAGACGCGGTCCACAGCAGCTTGTAAGATTCAGTTCAGGCCAACCACTCTATTGAGAACCCAGCACTTAGATATACAGAAAACAGGAATGAGTTTATTATCAAAGAACAGAGATGCAAGCGAGAGTGAATAAATACTGGTAACACCCATTGTTTCATGTTCTGTGTGTATATAAATCTCCCCATTGTATTTTCCACTGAATGCATCCGATGAAGTGAGCTGTAGCTCACGAAAGCTTATGCTCAAATAAATTGGTTAGTCTCTAAGGTGCCACAAGTCCTCCTTTTCTTTTTGCAAATACTGGAAAGTAATGGTTACATAGAAAACAAAATCCTCACACTTTCTAGAGCCGGGGTTCTCACAAATTTTTGGCAGCCTCAGAATGAGGCTCTGACAATACTTAACTAACTGTAGGAAAAACAAATAAATAAATTACATGTGCATATTTACATAGGGATTTTTTGCAGACTCAATAATAAATATAAGGTACAGTTGTGTCTTTTCTTTACTGGACCTAAACACAGAACAAACCAGTGCTTTGCACAGTCTTGTCTTTTTTGTTGTTCTTTTGCTTTTTTGGTCAAAGGTGGACGGCTGTACAACAATTCTGAACTAAATTTAAAAATGCTTTACATAATAGAAAGGATAATGACTAATAATGAAAGAATGTATCTGCCAATATGTCCAAAGTTTCTTTCACAGACAAAAAAACCCAGTCAACGTAGCCCAGTAATAATAATGATAACAGTAACAACAAAGTCTGAGCCGTTGCTGTTGTCTTTTCAGCTTGGTTTTTGCATCATTTAACAGCTTGCGCCTCTGAAGCTCACCGTAGTAATTTGGTTCAACTTCCCTTGCACAAGTGCTGTAGGGACGTTGCACGACATACATTTCAATTTGATGAATTTCTCTCTCACACTGCAACTTGTTCAGAAATGGAATCAGATGGCTTCGGAAACACAGGAAACTGCCTTTCCCCCTGGTGCTGAAGTGTTTCTTTTTCTTTCTATGTTTTGCTTTTCTTAGCAGAAGGTCCCAGAGGAGCCACCTGCTGTCACATTCAAGGTCATTTTCTGGCACTAGATTATCTGAAATACTTTCTGATACCCAGTCACATTTTAACTTTTTCACCTCCCTCCCCACCCCCATGAACAATCGCAACCTGCCCAAACACCACACAGTGAGATGGCCCATAGCCACTTACAGAGCTACAATAACATGAGATGTAAACACAGTGGTTAGAGGTCTATAAAATCATGAGTGGTGCAGAGAAAGTGACTAAGGAAAAGCTATTTACTTGTTCCCATAACACAAGAATTAGGGGCCACCAAATGAAATTAATGGGCACCAGGTTTAAAACAAATAAAAGGAAGTTCTTCCTCACACAGCGCACAGTCAACCTGTGGAACTCCTTGCCTGAGGAGGTTGTGAAGGCTAGGACTATAACAGGGTTTAAAAGAGAACTGGATAAATTCATGGAAGTTAAGTCCATGAATGGCTATTAGCTAGGATGGGTAAGGAATGGTGTCCCTAGCCTCTGTTTGTCAGAGGGTGGAGATGGATGGCAGGAGACAGATCACTTGATCATTGCCTGTTAGGTTCACTCCCTCTGGGGCACCTGGCGTTGGCCGCTGTCGGCAGACAGGATACTGGGCTGGATGGACCTTTGCTCTGACCCAGTATGGCCGTTCTTATGTTCTTAGCCAAAGAATACACTTTGTGACTTGAAAGAAAACCACACCTATGTAGCTCAGCTCTGCCGGCATGGTACTATTTAAAAGGGAGCGCGCATGAGGATTTATGGCATTTAGAAGACACCTTTAATACTTAACATCTGAGCGATTGTTGGGGCACTTTGGAGGCTCTTCTGGCTGCAAAACAATCAGCTGCTGGCTGCATTTGAGAAATGCTGTTCTGGAGTCTAAACGAACAAGGCCTTCCCTTAGCCACATGCTGGGGAAATGAGGTAAGACTCCTTCTCATGAGATCACTCCCTCTCAGCTGCAGAGAAACGCTTGACAACGTGACCCTGAGTTTAAAAGGTTCAAAAGCAGAAGGCACATACGGAGTTTAAACGAGACACACTTATTGCTTGAGGGCCCCACTGCCTGATTTTGAGATCTTGGCTCGTTCAAGTAGGTGTGAGTTGTATAAGTGTCACTTCTAGGAGTCTCATTTTGAGCCCCTTTCGAGTGCAGTCTCTTTTCTCATCTGTCAAGGTTCCTTCCCCACTTTGAACTCCAGGGTACAAATGTGGGGACCTGCATGAAAACCTCCTAAGCTTACTTTACCAGCTTAGGTTAAAACTTCCCCAAGGTACAAACTATTTGACCCTTGGACTTCCACTGCCACCATCAAACGTTTAACCGGGTTTCTGGGAAAGTGTTGTTTGGAAACGTCTTTCCCCCCAAAATCCTCCCCAAAACCTTGCACCCCACTTCCTGGGGAAGGTTTGGTAAAAATCCTCACCAATTTGCATAGGGGACCACAGACCCAAGCCCTTGGATCTTAGAACAATGACAAAAGCATTCAGTTCTTGAAAAGAAACATTTTAATAGAAGAAACAGTAAAAAGAAAAGGATCACCTCTGTAAGATCAGGACGGTAAATACCTTACAGGGTAATTAGATTCAAAACATAGAGAATCCCTCTAGGCAAAACCTTAGGTTACAAAAAGACACACAGACAGGAATATTCATTCTATTCAGCACAACTTATTTTATCAGCCATTTACAGAAATCATAATCTAACGCATATCTAGCTAGATTACTTACTAAGTTCTAAGACTCCATTCCTGTTCTGACCCTGGCAAAAGCCTCACCCAGACAGACACAGACCCCTTTGATGTTCTCCCTCTTTCCAGCTTTTGAAAGTATCTTGTCTCCTCATTGGTCATTTTGGTCAGGTGCCAGCGAGGTTATCCTAGCTTCTTAACCCTTTACAGGTGAAAGGATTTTTCCTCTGGCCAGGAGGGATTTTAAAGGTGTGTACCCTTCCCTTTATATTTATGACACCATCACATACA